GATTAGATGAATTTGGACTTGATGGTGGAACTGCAAAAGTGAAAAATTGCTGACAAGCCATAAATGTCAACGTCATGATGGTGCGAGAGGAGAACTCTGGGATCACCACAGGTATTATTATTTATCCTGTGGAGAGCAATGACATCTATACAAAGTTTTAATCAAACCTTACGTTGTTGACACATTTCAATCCAAGCCTGGCCCCCCAAAGATGACACTCCTACACAACTAGACTGCGTTCTCGTTTCATGGTTTGATAGAAACTTAATTTTGTTATGAAAGCTTCGTATTTTAGCCCTGAGATGTAAGACTGTGGCTCTGTCCAAGTGGAAGCCTTTCCTGTTGCGTCACAGATTCCACGTAAAGAGGTAGGAGGAGAGGACGGAGGTATAAGTCATCCAGGAAGCCGGGTTTCGCTCCCATGTGGGACCATTATTCATTCATTGTCTATTTTTGTTTTCTGTTTGGTTCGGTGTAGGCTACAAACTTAAGGGGTTACGTTTCGGAAAATCTCACAGTTTGGCTTTAAATAACAATGAATAACGGTGAAATTGGTCATATCTGAACCCAAAGTGCAAAAAATAGATAATGCATTCATGAACTCTTGCAAAATATTACATATAAGACCCACTACACTGTAAATAAAACACATGAACCTGACTAACTCAAATATTAAGGGTAGGAATCCACAATACTGTATGCTATGACCAGTTGTTTGGCTTGGTTATAGTTCATGTTACCCCAATGAATGCATAGATTCAGCACATTTAAAGCGTCTCTTCTACTCTATCTATCTGGGTTACCATGGTGATGAGTCCGACCCCATCTAACACATGATTGGCTGGCTGAAAGGTAGAAGCAGTAAATTATGCGCTGATTCGAAGCGTAATGCAGCAGGAAATGCATTTTTCTCGAAACATAACCGAGGATGCGGTTGCAGTCGTAACTTTTGGGAGACGCGGTCGCTCCGTCTGGTCTAAAATGGTGGATCTACTGACCTTCAGCTGCAGCTACACCGCTGAGCGTGGCTGAAAATGTCAAACATTTTCCCCTTCCAGCTCCTGAAATGTGAGGATTTGCCGCTCTCCTTGTAAATAAAATATATTTTGGTTTTCGGCTGCTTGGTGAGACGGAACGAGGGATTTTTCTCGACAGTTTGCAGCCCCCTGTTTGCCACGGCTACTATCATTATCATGCGAAGCCCTTGTTTATGTGATCTATGCATGCATTTTTTTTCCCCTTTAAGAAGACATTAAACATTAATGTGATAGCACACAGGAGACTGATACGAGTAAGTGCTGCTGGTAAGGAGAGAAAATTCAGTGGTAGGTTTGATATTCAAAGTAATTTGCAATTGATATACAAAGCACGCATCGCTGTCATCAAACATTCACACGTTCACACTTGAGTGTTTTGATATCGGATAAACACTTGCAGCTTGGACCCTTTGGGGAACGGAGGAAGATGATTGGGTGGAAGACCAAAGGAGGGGACAGGACTAGTGGAAAAAAACTGGCAGGTGCTACAACCGGGGACTGACAGCACATATGTAGGCTTCCTTTAATAGAAGAACACATCCTGCGCCGGTCCCCTTTTCTCAGCTTGTGCTCGTCTGCGCTCAACTCTCAATGGTGTCTCCTTTGAAAACACACATACAGTACATTTCTTAAGCCATACACACATATAGGGCTTAGTGCTGCACTTGCTGTCAGAAAGAGGGGGGGGAAGAGGAGGAGGAGGAAAAAGAGGCAGCAGAAAGCCTCTAAAAGCTCAGCAGAAATGTATTTATAGACAGAAATAAAAGGATTATACCTCCATGAAGGAGTAGGGGAAAGCCAGTGATTTCCAGACATGCCAGATGCTGTAGAATCTCAGTTGGAGGGAAGGTGGGGGTGGGAAAGGAAGATGCGGAGGGTGGAAAAGGGGGACTGACAGATGGAGAGAGACAGATTGACAAAGAGAAACAAGGATTGGCGCTTTCTCAGATTTACTTCACTTGCTTCAGATTGGCCTCTGAGCCACGTCAGACCCTGATAATTATCCGCTGCCAGCTTGCCTCGGAAGCAGGGTGGCTTTTTTTTTTTTTTTGCGAGTCGGGAAGCCTTGCTAAGTGTTAATTACCAGCATAATGAGAACGCTACCTTTCTCCTGCAGCGTGTGCGTGCGCTCAGCGAAGGCGCTTCTGGATTAGCGGCCTCATATTAAAAGTATTATTTTCCCTCCTGATGCCGTCCTGCTTTTGAGAGGGAATAAAAAGGAAAATCCATGCAAACAGCTGTCAAAAGTGGAGCTGCTGCCAAACACGAATTACATAACATCCCCCAAACTCATTTCGCTCCCTGCATATTCCATTCATATTCCTGCAAAAAGTGTCGAGCCCCTTCCTCCTCCCTGCTTCCTCCCCCTTCTCACTCTCTTCTATTTTTTTTTTTGACTTTTTCAGCACCTCACGCTGTGCAGATGTTGGCTCCCGGATGTACGCATGCAAGTGTTAATACCCTGCCTGGGTCCTCTTGCTGTTGCTAAGGAGAATACAGTCAAGCTGTTAAAGAGGGGGGGAGAGGAAAAAAAAAAAAAAGCTAAGAGAGAGAGAGAGAGGGGGAAGAGAGAGAGATGAATAGGAACTCGTGAAAAGAAAGAGGAGGAAATGAGGCGGTGGGTGCAAGATTTCAGCTGGAGGAGACAGTCTGTCAAAGCAGTGGGAAGGTGCAGTGCGATCGCTCATCGCCATGACTTCAATGGAAGTGTGTGCAGCTCGCAGAAAAGCGGGATTCACTACCGAGTTGTGACACGTCTTCCTCCGCAAATTGAAACAAGAGGAAGCGCGTATTAAGATAACCTATCAGGAGATGCTCAGTTATTGAATGTGCCGCACTGAAGCCGCTTAATCACATCCTGAGTGCTCCGCATTTTTGGTTTTTAAGCTCCGTGTTTTTATGATCAAATGTCAGAGGGAAAAGCTGAAATGCTTTTTACACTCCACTTAGAGCCTCATCCGCTGGGATTGTGCCATGGCTGCAGTCTAATGCACGAGGTCACCGGTTCAACTTGTATCCGTCCAAATGCCGTCAGAGGTAGTGTGGCCGCCAGAGATTACAGGCTGGTCAGAGAGGCCACTGTTTAGATGGTAGGTTTTATAAATCTGCAGCTGTACAGTGCTGCATTTGGACGGTATAAAACATTTAACGCGAAGGGCCAAACATGGATGTTCTGCTTCGGCTTGCGACAGGCCGGTTTCCACTTGAACGGAGCAGAACACATGCACAAGATGTTGGAAAATGAATTTACTTCAGATATTTTTGCCATTTTTGGAGATGCTAGCAATCATTTGGTCAATAAAATGCAGAAATTTGTTTGAGTTTTGCATTTTTTCCCCCCAAATCTCTCAAATGATTAGAATTGGTTTGCTCTTGTTTTGAAAATATTTCAACTTAAAGGGCATGACAACATTAAATAACCAGTTTTTGCCCTCAAAATCCAACCTGTACAGACAAAAAACACCTGATGGATCCATCAGGAAGTGCTTTTTGTTGCCTGGATGGCTCAGACTGGAGTCACTGAGTCTCAGCAGAGGTTCAGTTCAGGACTCGTACCGGGAACAGGCCTCCAAAAATGCAGCCTTTTCTTAGAGCTGCGTGATCTGCAGAGGTGACCAGCAGATGCTCCATCCATCCCTCCTGTGTTTACATTTCCAATCCCCCATGTGCAGCAGTGGCATCATCTGCTACGTATCAAAAGACGGTGACACGTCCCATCTGCCCGGGGAGCACAGGAATACAGTGCAGAGTGAGCAGTCCCACTGGAGCACTGTTCTACTTCTGTGACAGAGAAAATAATCACTCCGTGGGGACGTTATTTCTATCGATGTGGAATTGATCGATTCCGTGACCGTCTCTGCACCTCCTGACATGACACACTGCACTCTGCGAGCTTGTAGGTTACATAACACGGCTATCTTGTCTGATTATCATTTCCATTCTGCCGCCTATGGAAGGAAGCGTCACAGTGATTCCACCTTAGATGAATATCTGATAGATTGAACTCAACTTAGGGGGTCAATGTGACAGGCTCTTGCACCAGTCATAGATCATTCTTTTTTTTTCTACTTCCAAGTCAATGAGCAGATTAAATCTTGAGGATTATATGAAGCACAGAGAAGTCACATTTAACTGTATTTTACACTAAAAAAAAAAAAAAGAACAGCTCTGCTCTCTGTTGTGAGGCAGAAAACTCGGTGTTACAACAGTTTAAGCACATATTGCATAACAAAAAGTAACCACACTTGTAATGCCTGCATCATGAGGCTCCACCTTCTTCATAATAAAACACCTACTTAATTATGCAAGAATCAAACATAATGCATGCAGCAGGTTTGATCCATGCAGTGCAGCTTTGTGAAATAAAGCTTTCCTCCCACAGAAACAGGTCCATTTGTGCACATTTCCCACACCTGCAAACCCCCTCATCAGACTAAATGCACCGCACAGTTGTTCATTTCACTCCCACAAATGAGAAATCATTCCAATGCTGGATTTAAAATGTCATAATTTGGATGGAATAATCCCCGCAAGCCCCCTGTGCCTCGGTGCCCGGACCCCCGCTCGGGGAAAACCCTCCTCCTGCTCCAGCAGATGTCCATAGTGGCCAGTGGCGGTGTGAGCTGGTGTCACTGCTGCTCCGCTCATTGCAGTGCTTCTGTCAGAGTCGGGACCGAAGCCAAAGCAGGAGTCGAGGAGCTCTGCGCTAAAACATTTTGTTCTGATTCTTAACCGCACCTCGGTTGCGGAGATTTTTTTTTGTTTTTGGAGGGATTGTGGCCAAAGAAGCACCAGGCTTAATTGGCTGCGCATGCTTGGTGGAGTGAAATGGCACGTATAATTCCTCACAGGTGCAGATGTTGACACTGTTTTCACAATGTGATGGAGAGAAAATGGAAATAACTCAAACAACTCTTCTACTTGTAGGCAGATTTGCGCCTTTTTACGCACACATGCACTCACCTCGCTCATGTTGGAGACGGAGGGAGTTCTGCAGCACAAGTGGACTTCTTCTGCTTCTGCTTCTTCTCTCCGGGATCCTTCAGTCAGTCAGTCGGTCAGACCCGAAGCGTAAAAGAGTGCTGCAGTGCGTGTTGTTGGACAGACTGTGGGGAGGAAAAATAAAAACAGCAGATCAAACAGAGCTGATGCCGGTGAGATGCTCCGAGACCGAGAGACGCAGCGGAGTGATGCTCAGCTCTCCGGTTAGAGATGATGGAAGGAAGCTTTAGTGGCTGAACGGTGCGGTTTATGGGCAACAGGAGCTCTCTCTCTCTCTCTCTCTCTCTCTCTCTCTCTCGCTCTGTCTCGCCCACTCAGTCTCAGCCAGTCACCAGGGAGCAGACTATTACCCTGGTACGGGGATGTAGGCTAATAGGTACATAATAAGAAGGGTAACCCTGGAGCATTGAGCTCTACCTCTCGCAGAGCAGCGTTAATTGATGTCTTATATTTATTTATTTATCGTCCTTTGCAGATATCCTGAGCTCTGAACCCATTTAGGTTCACAAACACACCACAGTCCTGCATTATATTCAATTTCTAGATATTATTCTACCACTATCAGGTGGACTGTGCACCCTTTACTGCTACAGAGCTGGTGATTGTGTTTTTTCATCACAGTGCACCAGTTTGATTTATATTTTAGGGTTTTCTTTATCGATTTCAAAATAAAACCTCGCTTGCAAATACATACATACAGAACACTTTCCAATCTGTTGTAACAGCTTATTATAGCAACTACCTGGTTTTCTTTGCCCTGCTAATTGCATATTAATTGATAGGCCACGTGACAGTTTAGATAATTATAAAGCTGCAGTGTGTATGATTTTATTTTGAAAAATAAAATAAAAGCTCTGGTTTCATCAAAGTTTCATCTAAAAATATGTCATAGTTAATAACTCTTATTATATCTTATTAGTAAACGTGGAAAGTACTATTTTGCTCAAGTACTGTACTTAAGTACAATTCTGATGTACTTCTCTTGAGTGTGCTGTAAAACAAATAAAAATGTAAAAATATATATATATATATATGGTACTTGTTTACTTTCAAGATTTGGATTTTATATCGTGGAAAATGTAACAAGCTTTTAAAATGCATCACAGTGTCAAAGATTAAATCAGTTTATTCCAGCCTTTTTGGCTTCTACTGGAAAACAGCGTGTAGTTGAGGTCACATTTCAAATTACTGTTGAACGAGTATAATAAAGTGAATTACTGTTCGATCCATAAAGGGGAACAAACATTGAAGATTATGGGTCAAATGTCACAGACCAAATTGTTGAAATCAGCAACAACAAATCCAGTGTGATGAGGGATTAGACGGACTAAAGAAAGCCACAGGTTAGAGGACAAAATAACCCAAATGGTGAAGTCATTACCTAGTTACTATCCACAGTGGAAAGTAACTAAATACATTCACTTAAGTATTCTAAGGACTAAGGTTGCAGCTTGACCAGACCTTGTAACGAAATGAGAGTCAGAAGGTGAATTATCCTGAGATTCTCTGGTTTGTATGTGGTCTACTACGGGTTTGGAAGTTTGTAAGGTGTGAATCTAGTTTGGAGTACATGATGGCCGTTGGATTGTCGCTTGATTGGTTTGATGGGTTTGAGTGAATAGACCAGGTGGTCTTTGGAGATGCAGGATGGTCCAATACAGGATGTGGAAGAGGTTCCATAGGATGGCAGTGCTGATCGAACTTGACTTGTCGGTCAACGTTGCAATGGACTGGCAGGAACAAAGGAAGGTCAATAGAAACACTGATTCTTGACTGCTGGCTAGAGGCTGGAACGTAGGACATTTGGAACATGTTGATGCCTTAGGATAGGTGGACAGGTGTCTGAGAAGACTGATAAAGGTTAATAAATAATGCTGCAGAAGTATCGTGGGAGTCCCAGGTGGAGATGAGCAATACGAGATGTAGCTGGAAAATGTAGCTACATTGAATAACGGAAGGAGGAGCAGAATCGGTGAAGGAGGAAGTTGGTGATATTGTTTCAGTAGCCTGGGAAGTGTTGGAAGAGGATTAGGATGGAGACTGACGGCCACAGGAGGTGCCACATGGGGGGCAAGAATGTGGGAGAGTTGCTGCGACTTTGGTTTATAAAGACGATGAGGGTGAGGCTAGTGGGGTGAACAAGCATGGAGTTTGTTTTGTTTTTTTCACCATTCATGGCTCGATGAGAGAGTAGTGATAACGATGGGGTAAATTTTTGAATACTGTTGAAGACAGCTGAAGAGGTTTTTGATAGAACTGTGAGTGGCTGTGGCATGGAGACCTTCGCTGACCAAGAAACCCCCAAAACTGGCAGAAGGAGCATGTTTGTGAAGAGCTGATAGCTGCTTGGGATCTTGTTCATGAGTGAGAATGGGGCATGAGATGGACAGGCGGCTTGGTGGGGCATTAGCAGCAATGCGGGCATTGTTCTAGAACATCTTGATGAGGAGGAAGCTGAGTCAGAAGGTGAAGCTTCTGATTTATCAGTTGATTTACAGTCCAAATACTAACCTCTGGTCATGAGCTCATGAGCAGAATGAGGGCAGGAAATTGTTGATGTGGATTTCTTTACTTCTTTGACCGACACTGGGCCCATGGTATCCTCTACTGCAGACTGAAACTATAGCACTTGCTGAGGATGGTGAGATGACCCGTAGGGGGAAAACTGTCTGAAGTCCTTGGTGTGGAGATTAACAAGTCTGGGTGAGTTTTGAGTGCGTGTTTCGGTGCTGGAGTGTTGATGGAAGTCGTAGCAGACGTGACATAGGGTTAGTGACTTAGTCGTGTTTCATGAGGTTGTCATGGTAAACAGCTTTAGAGTGACCATTGCCACAGAAAGAGCAAACCTGCTGGTATCTGCACAGAAAGTGATGGAGAATCTGGCATCCCAGTGTGTAAAAGTGGAGGGTTGTTGACCTGGAGGTAGTAGTAAGTGACCCTGGCATCCCAGCGCTAGGAATCAAGGCAGAAAATTGATGACTGCTGCAGAAGAAGCAAGTGTGCAGGTAACTGTGCTGAGGCGCGCCACGGCCGGCTAGGTCAAGACTGTTGCAGATAGTCTGTCCTTATAACCGTAGCACTGGTTTTCCTTTAAGTCGACACCTTGTGGTAAGAGCATGGATGTGAGAAGCGTTGTGGCCTTGGGAATAGCAGCTGGTAGTGATGCTGTAGAGTGAAGATGACTGAAGGAGGAGGATCTGCTTCTAATTGTGGACAGTACATGTGGTGACTGGGTAACTCAACTAACCCCGTGATGTATTAAAGATGAACACACTGAAAAGGTGCTCTGTGTCCCCAGTATGGAGGGCTATGTTGAGAAGTGGAGTCAGGTCATTGTTGGACTCTTGTTGGGGGGATGGAAGGGAGGATCTGGCAGCCCAGTGTCGGATGTGAAGGGAAAAGGTAGTTGGAAAGTTTCAAGGGAGGAGAGGTGAGTTGGTATCTCATGGCCAGAAATGGCTGTCGTGGTGGAGCTGTGAACAGGTTGCAGTCGGGTAGGTTGCCGGTGGATAATGTGAATCACACCTGGCAACCCGGGTGCACAGCCATGGAGGACTGTTTTGGTTTATCACCTTGACAGCTCTGGGAGTTAGTGAGATGTTGGACTAAAGCTCTCTGAGGACCAACGATGATCTGGTCCGAGGTTTCATGTGGAGGGACGTCATCAGGAGAACTGGGTGCACAGAGAGAAACAGCCGGCTCCTCTGCAGGATTGTCTACTTCAGACATCAACGTCTTCGTCTTTATTTTATTTTTTAACTGGGCGGAGCTACGGGAAGCGCGATGACGTCACGTTCCGGCGCACAGGTGTGCCTGATGGAGGCTTGTTGTGGGCACGTGATGCAAGCTCTGGGAGTTTGACAGAAGTTTGAATAGTTAAACTTTGTTGTCAGCGCAGTGACAGATGAAGTCTTTCTCTTGCTGCTTTCTGAAGACTGGCGGACTTCTCATGTGGAGGAACATCACCGGAGCACCTGTCGGGAGTCTGGCCGCGCGCCGCTCGGCTCCTCTGGACGCTCACCTGCTTCTGACATCTGCGCTGGACTCAGTTGGAGTTCAGGAGGAGTTGTTCCGTTTTGTTTGTTACTACCTGAGAAGAGCCTGGTTGTGGCTGGGATGGATGAGGAGAGCCTGATGCGGCTGGAGGAGAGAGAGAAGTGAGGAGCGACGCGGTTCTGGAGCGACGCTGGTCTCCTGGTCTCCGGGCCTCGCTGTGCATTGGGCTGGTCGGCGTGGAGGAGCTCTGGAGCCGGGTGGAGGGCTGATGGATGAGCGATCCGTGGTGAGTCCGAGTTTTCTCAAACTTTCAGACTGACAGCAGCAGAGCGATGGTGCGTGTTGCTCCGTGCACGAGCAGCGTGAACGAGCATGTGGGAGCTCAGAGGTGTGTAGATGGAGGAGTGATGGAGGTGAGGTCCTGCTCCTGAACCTCACACAAAGATTTTAGCTGCATTTAATGTTTTCAATGCATTTTGCTGCTAATGCTTCTGTGGGATGTTCCATGCAGGATTTGTACATGTAATGCAGGATTTTGTCATCGCTCTATGAGTACTTTTACTCAAGTAAAGGATCTGAATCCTTCTTCCATCACTGCTTGTTTCCTTTTCAAACGGCTGTATGTGAGTTTGAATGAGGAGCAGACGGAGGCTCAGGAGGAGACAAGAGGCCAGAGTCGGGTGAAGATGAATGAATGTGGGAACGCAGACAGACAGGAAAACAGATTTCCTCCTGAACACACTCCTGAGCTTTGAAATCTAATCTCCGCCCTGAGTCTCCACTGGATGGCGCTGTTGCACCACAGATCCAATCCAAGGCTGCTGTAAACCCTTTCAGGTACAGACAGAAAATAATATTTTAGTGACACCTGCAGATGTTCACGTAATTGCATTTTTACAGTAATGGCTGTAATACAATCATGTCCAACCTGACAGGATCTCAGGGGGTCAAGAGGTCATGTGGGCCCAAACCAGACCGTCTGCTTGGTAAAGGCCACTTTAAGGACTTGTTTTGCATTTGATAATTTCACCATATGGGGTTTTTTTTC